GACAAAGGTTGTGTATTTGCTAATAGCAATATAGAAGACCATTGAACATAAATTGTTTATCTGGCAATGTCTCAGCTAAATGTAATACTTTATACATGAGAGTTATACATTATGCATGTTTATCTATGTCACTGGATATTTCTTTAATAGAATTAAAAAATGATCAGGAACTTTACTTTTAATTGGATGTTTAAAAATTAATCTAAAGTTATAGGCTTGCTGGATGTTTATTTTTTTAGATTATAGATCAGTTTGTTATAAACCAACTCTCAACTGATAATCCAATGAAAAGATTCATCTCTGTGTAGAGAAAGATGTTAATTATGTCAGAATCTTGAATATCATAAAAACAAAAGCTGCCTCTTCATTTACAAAATATTGACAAAAGACGATCACCTCAATGGGAGCAAGTGCCCAAAGAAAAGTGGCTCCATCCCTTCCAAATAATCCTTGTTTTCAAGTAAAAGTAATGCTTTGTTATATACTCACATCCAACTCCTCTTGCTAGCACAAGATTACATTCATTCCTTAAAATATCATATCATATACTGGGGGGTTATATAATTATATTGGGAAAGAAAAGAAACAAATAAAAGAAAGAGCCCACTTAGGAAATATGAAGGTGTTAATATGGCTATAGGTTGTAATTCACCTGACCCAAAAGCAGCCAAAGATTCCCCAATAAAGGATAATGTTGTTGGTTTAGCTTAGTTCAAGGATTTATTATGTCTAAGTAAGCTACCTGAACACCAATTGCTCCCTTTGGACAGTATGATAGAGATATATACGAATATAGAAGTGAGCCAATATTTTTTTACATAAAAACAATAACATATTAACATATTTGTGTCACATCTCCCCCTTTTCACCCTTTCCTGTATAGAAAACTCAATTGAGCCACACATATTTAGCTACGGCTAGTCGTTTCTATTGTCATTAAGTAGATGTATTTTTAGTAAAGAATGAAATAATATGGATGCATTACAAATAGCAGCAATGGTGAGAATAATTAAAAAGATGCCAATTAAGCTATTTAGTTGACCCCCTAGAAAAATAGATTAAAAAAATAAAATCAGAGAAGAAAGCCTAAGAACAAAGGAGAAAGCATAACTTGTGTAAGAGAGAAAGAAGATTAGCTCATTCATTGTCAAGAAAAGAGGGCCTACCTAGTTTTCTAAATCCAATCAATAGCCACTTCCAGAGGAGCGAGATTCCTCCATTTCCTCTTCCAGTCCGTTAAGAAATTTGTCGCAGGTGATGCTTATGCGGCGAGCCGGCGACCACCCTTTTGTGTTCCAATCTAGATCCATTATTGTGGATGGTTAGGTACTGGAATAGCATACCTATTAATGGAAGTCGGATAAAAAGAACAGCTTACACGAGCCGGAATTGAATTGGAGGACTCCATGTCATTACCATCAGCTGTTGAAATTCCCACTTGGCTGCTTACACAGACTGCCACCCAACCACCATCCTCTTATAAGAATAATAGCAGAGGAGAAGAAGAGGAGAGAAACGAATCAAGACTGGAAATTTAAATATCATATCATATAATACTATAATAGTATAATTAAAGATGAGTAATGAAAAGAAATATTTTAGGCTTCCTTCTTTGAAAGGAGAAGGAAGAAGAAAGAAGTATAAACATGGCCTCTCTCCATCTCAGTATCAAGCTCTTTCTTCCATATGTGAAGCTCTCTTCTGATCTGGGCGGTGCCGTGGTGGGTTCTGAGCGAAATTATATCTAACCCTAACAATTTCATCTGCTGAATGGGTTAGAAGTTGGGACATGAAGCGGATGAGGCGGAACATAGTACCGTTTGTTGACGGATAAACGACGGTAGATAGACGGATGAGCAAAGTAGAAGATAGAGTACATTGACTTAAGCACATAGTACACGTTTATTAAGCTATGATGTACCACCAACAAATTTTTAATACCCAAAATATCCTTACATTCATTCATGCTTATAATTTTGTAGAGATAATATGTTCTTATAAGGTTATGTTATTGATGTAAAGGTTAAATACTAACCTAGAGCAAACCTTGGAAAAAACTTGGAACCGAGTTCGCCGGAAAACACCCATTCTAGGGGCTGTTTTCGTATCAATGGTTAGGGGTTGAACTAGCACTTTGAGGGGGATGTTTAACACTCATTTCTAAGCAAGGAAGCATCTCTCAAACTTCCTTGGTCGAAGCTTTAGTCATTGGATCAAGAAGAAAAAGTTTAAAGCTCAATTAAGGTGAGGATCGACATCTAGTTGTTTACAACTTGTAGATTAAGCATGAGATTACCTAAATGTCTAAATTATATTTTCATGGATTATAATGCTTAATCATTGATGAAATATTGATATATTTGGTAAGGAATGAAATTGGAAATGATTTGAATGTCATATTGATAAAATGGGATTAAATGGGCTATTAATGAACTATTATGAAAAATAGGCATTTTTGCTCATGTGTGAAATGTGTAGATACATAAATGAATATTTATGTATTAAATTGGATGCTTAAGTTGATGCTACATATCTCTAAATATGCAAGGATTTACAAATGGAATATTTGTTTTGATAGGAATAATCTTAATAGTATTGAAATACTAGTTAATGATTATTTGTAATTGTTAACGAATTGATTCTAAGGATTTGATTGTAAGTGATGCACTTGAATGTGATTCAAGTGACTAAATTGATTTAGTGTGAAGCTAAGATCATGTTATGGTCAGTCCTTAAGGATGTCCTAAGGTAGATTATTGATTTGTCCATTCTAGGCATAGGTTGCTTAGGAATTGGGTCTATGCCATGGCACGGTGATGTACTTTAGTAGAACTCTAAAAGTGCATGGGTAGACAAGGGGTTGTACTTGAGTTGGACTCTAGAAATGCATGGTGAGATTGAAGGTTGTAACCTATGATGTGCATGGTGATGTACTTTAGTAGAACTCTAGAAATGCACGATGAAGTAATTGACTTGTGTCATATGATTTGCATGGTGATGTGTTAATACCCAATTTTGATAGATTTTGATGATGCCACTATACTTAACACGTGTACATTGTGTCTCAGTTTTATTCTTGTATTAACACTCAAAAATGTGACAAAAATAAATGTACAATTTTTTAGACTAATGAAATACTACCGGAAAAAATAAAAATGCAACAAGGTATTTTTTATTTACCTTAATAGGATATTTTGATCCTACCGGTATATATTATTTATTCCAAATATTAATTAAATGTCACATTTTTATTACATACATTGAATATGAATGATTGAAGACAAATCTTGACCGGTATTTAATACCGAATCAAGTACTGGGGGCGGCAGCATGGGACACACACATAGAAGATACTTCAGCTTCCAAAATTATTGAAGACAAGAAAACCGCCGCATTAAATACTCCAGCACAACAAGACGAATGTACAAGTCGTCCTTGTCAACTTTCAACGCCAGAGATTAATTCATCCTAACCAACAGATGAGATTACTCCAAAGGAGAAGCCTATAAATATAGGCTGAAACGGAAATTTCTAACCAAGCTTTGAGCATCCAAAGTATAGAAATTCTTTTTTTTTGGGGGGTAAAGGGTAATTATATATATCATCCAAAAGAGTTTCTGTACAAGTAAGGCAAAAAAGTGGGGGACAAAATTGGGGCTATCCCAACATGGGATATACCATAGACCTGTGGGCTATACAATCAGTCCCAAATCACACAAAAAAGGCATGTAGCCGCACCCTATAAAATTTCAAAACGTAATAAGCTCATGAGGGTAAATACTATAGAGGATCTTATACACCATGTATTGGATCCTGGCAAAAACATCTTCCTCTTGGGTCTTCTTATCATCAAATCTGGTGGCATTCCGAACTCTCCATAACCAGTAGATAGTATAGATGAATGCAATTCTGACTGCCTTGGCCTTGATCCCCGCACTTGCATGCTCCTTCCTAATCCACTTAACTAAGCTTTCCAGAGTAGACATCTGTCTAGGTATTCCAATCCATGCTCTTACTTTGCTCCAAATTGTGCCTGTAAATTGACAACCAAAGAAAAGGTGTGGCACCGTCTCCGGTTCACCCTTGCAAAATGGACAAATGTTAATCACATCAAGCCTACTAAGATTATCATACGTTGCAAGGCGGTTGCGGAAGGCAAGCCATGCAATGAATGAGAACTTAGGAGGTATGTAAGCTTTCCAAATAAAGGGCATCCACACCTGTTTAGTGCCCTTAACTCTAATCAAGTCATACACATTTGAAGAGCACAATTTCCCATTTGTTACCATCTTAGAGAGGGCTGCTATTGTGGTCTCAATGGAGTCATATTTTGAGACAAGGATGTCTCGGATCAGCCCTAGCTTCTTAGTAAGCTGGGAGTCCCTAGTGTGTGGGGAAAATTCTTCCACGAGCATTCACGAGCATTCACAAGTATAGAAATTCTTCCACGAGCATTCACGAGCTATCTGGCAAAAGAGAAAGTGCTATTCTAAACTTTACTCTCTGCTTGGACTCATGTTTCACTAAACTTTCCGTTTACAAGCTATTCATTGTTAAATCATAGAAGTTTAGTTCCTAGTTGGAGGTTAGAACTTTCTTGTAACATTTCACAAATTGCTGTAAACACTTAGGAGAACTGTTGTTTGGATCCTAATGTGTGGATAGATAGATAGAGTACCCTTTAATCCCCACTGGATTAATTGAGAAAAATCTAAGGACTGAGTAACTTTGAGTGGTGCTATACTCACTGTGAAAAAACTTCAATCTAGGCCTAAGTGTTGTAAAGGCTAGATTGGCACTAAGTGTATTGGGCTTAATACTTTAGTGAAATCCATCTGAAAGAGAGTGGGACTGGACGTAGGAGGATTACACCACCTCTGAACCAGGATACACTGTGTGTTGATTTACATTTATTCAACAAAGCACACACTTAGCACTTGTCACAAAAAGATTGAAGTTTGCCAGCAGAATCCTAAGCAGTTGTCTTAACTGACCCAACTGCTTATCCTACTGCTTAATTACTTACCTTCTTTGAGACTATTTTCACACAAGAGACGTGCATCAATATCACTAAAAGGCCTGTTCTACCAGTTTCCATAAATTCATTTTCCAAGTATAGCAGGTGCCTCAGTAGTTCCCTGGAAACCACCCAACTGCTGAGCCCTCTGCTCATAAACACTTGTTTTCCCTTGAACATCTCAAAATCACCAGACTCTCATAATATCATCAACAAGAAGTTTTGCTTAAACTGATCTCTGAAAATATTCTTATAACCTAAGCAGGTGGCTCAGCAGTTCCCTCATTACCACCCAACTGCCGAAACCACTGCTCCAGTAAAACTTTGCTTTACTCCTACTAGAGCACCTCTTCAGACAACCCTCATTTGAACTAAAGATCCAAAACCACTTTGGTTCCCAAACACTTTCTAAATATGGACAGTCAGCTAGCAAAGAATCTTTTGTTCAACCTGAACAAATTTGATGACTGGAAGATAAGGATGAAGGCACATCTTAGTGCTTTACATGATGAAATGCTTGAAGTAATTACTGTTGGACCTATCAGAATAATGACGGTCATCACATCTAAAGATGATGACCAGGAGGATGTGTACATTCCTAAACCAAAATTGGAATGGACAACTGAGGACAGGAAGAGGAATAATCTTGTCAACATTGCCAAAGATATTCTCTTTAAATCTGTTGATGAATCCATATTTCCCAGAATCAGGAAATGTGAAACTGCAAAGGATGTATGGGATGAGCTCACAAAGATCGGAGCTGGTGATGAACAAGACAAGGATAACAAACTGACCATAACCCTTAAGAAATTTGAGGACTTCAAAATGTTGTCTAATGAGTCTATTCATGAGATGGAATCCAGGTTCCTAAAGATCATAGCAGAGGTGTCAGACCTAGGGAAAGATCTATCCCAAAACGAGATTTCCCTCAAGATCTTAAGAGGCCTGCCCTCAAAATGGGACATGAAGGTGACTGCTATGAGAGATAGCAGGGATCTAAGAACCTTGTCAACTGACAATCTCTTTAGTGACCTAAAGGCATATGAATTTGAGATGAAGGAGATGAAAGATGAAAGAGAGGATGAATCCAAGACACTAGCCTTAGTGTCTGAGCCAAGCACATCAAGATCCAGTGAAAATTCCTCAACAATCTCCTCACTGACGAGCAGTTTGCTATGTTTGTGAGGAAGTTTAAAAGTTTTATGAAGAAGGAGGGATCTGTTCCAAAGAAGCCATAAAACATGTCACCCAGGAGACAAGGAAAACCTCAATCCAGTGAGGACACTGTCCTGTGCTACAACTGTAGACAGCCAGGACATTACCAAAATGAATGCCCTCTGCCACTGGCACAAAAGTACCAAGGGCAGCAGGGAACTGCTCAAAAAGCTGGATACAAGAAGGACTTCAAAGGAAAGACACAAGCCTTTGTAAGTGAAAAGAGTAAGGAAGAATCCCGAAGTGATGAGGAGAGCATCTCAAGTGATGAAAGATCCTCATCTGAAAGCTTAGAAGAAGCACTTCTCTGCCTGGGATCCTGGCAGGTGGCTGAAGAAAACGGCAGTCGACTCACTGAAGAGAGCAACAGGTGGCTCAATGAGCCTTCCACCAGTGGAAGAAAAGATGATGAAAGCTTCTCCCCCATTTGCTTGATGGCCAAGGACCACTACAACGATGTTGAGGTAACATCCTGCTCTTCCTATAGCCCTATTGATTCTGGACCAAACAATATCACACTGGAATCTTTGTTACAAGACTTCCAAAAAGTCCAAAATCACCATGTTCTCTTAAAAGCTGAAAATGATAGACTGAAACAAGACATTAAGGCCATTCATGCTAAATTACTAGATGCCTTAAGCAAAAATGATGTCTTAGAAAAGGAGAACAAAGAGCTGAAAAACTCCAGCACGGATAGTAAAAACTTTCACCCTACTGCTGAAGTTATTCTAAATAGGAAGAGAAGAGGTCTTGGTTACTCATCCCCCACTAGACTCACTCAAAACTGTACATCTACAAGCCATCAACCAAACACAAGAAAGCTATTCTACCAAAAAATCCATTCCCCAAATGTTCCCGCAAGAAGGAACCAACCTGCTCCCAAACCAAAATCCAAACTCCTATATAAATCAACACCTCATAACCATCAAAACACAAGAACCCGTTGGCAACCAACCAATAAGACCAACCACAGCCAAAATACCAAGCAGACCCCTCAAACCAATAATCCATTTCCCACATCAAGAAGGAAAGGGATTAATAAATACATAGCCATCCCCTATGATTACAACACCTCAAATGGCTATAGACCAAACTGTTTAGAGATTAATGGTTCTAGATGGACATGGATGCCTAAACTTATACAAGGGAAGTCGCCCACTAACTTGTGGGCTACTGCTCAACACTGATCTATACAGGAAGGTGCTGGAGCAGTTGAAACACAAACGTGGTACATAGATTCAGGCTGCTCCAGGCACATGATGGGCAGCAGGCGGCTCCTGTCAAACTATACAGCAAGGGAAGGACCCAAAGTGACATTTGGGAATGTGGAAAAACAAGGAGAAACCAAAGGAGCTGGAGATCTATCAATCAATGGACTTACAATCCAAAACATATCCTATGTTAAGGGTTTAAAGTTCAATCTCATAAGCACAAGCCAGCTCTGTGACAATGGCTATAATGTTACATTCTCCAAAGACATCTGCTTGATTAGAGATGTCAAAAATGACAAAATTGTGCTCTCTGGAAGAAGAAGGAAGGACATGTATGTGGTTGATTGGAGCTCAGCTAAGAAAGGAATCTGCTTGGTGACAAAGGCAGATTCAAACTTGAGTTGGGAATGGCACAACAAACTAAGCCATCTCAACTTCAAAACAATCAACAAACCGTCCAGAAAAGGACTGGTGAAAGGACTCCCTGAAATCAACTTCAAAAAGGACCATCTATGTGATGCTTTCCAAAAAGGAAAACAAACCAAGGTATCATTCAAATCAAAGGAAGTGGAATCATCAACTAGGCCTTTAAACCTACTACACCTTGACTTGTTTGGACCAGTTGAACCAACAAGCTTGAGTGGTAGAACGTACACCCTGATTGTAGTTGATGATTATTCTAGATACACTTGGACCATATTCTTAAAGAAGAAGAATGAAACAGAGAAGAAACTCCCTGAATTGATGAAATTAATTCAAAATGAGAAAAGTCTCTCAATCCAGAAGATCCGGTCAGATAGAGGTACTGAATTCCTCAACTCCATCATAATTCAGTACTGTGAAGAAAATGGAATCCATCATCAAACCTCAGCAGCAAGAACACCTCAACAAAATGGTGTTGCTGAAAGAAGGAATAGGACACTCAAGGAAGATGGAAGGACAATTCTAGAATCAGTTGGATTACCCAAAAGATTTTGGGCAGAAGCAATCAACACGGTTTGCTACACTCAAAATAGAAGTCTTATTCATAAGACTCACAAAAAGACATCATATGAGTTATGGAAAGAAAGGAAGCCAAATGTTAGTCATTTCCATGTGTTTGGATCCAAATGCTTTATCCTAAACAATGGAAAGGACTATCTCAAGCCATTTGATCCCAAATCTGATGAAGGGATCTTCCTGGGCTACTCAACAACAAGCAAGGCATTCCAGATCCTCAATAAAAGAACTCTGGTGGTAGAAGAATCAATCCATGTGGTTTTTGAAAACCACCCCACTGCTCAATTAAAAGATGAAGGTGAGTCATCTAAATCAAAGGACACTGGAAAGGCTCCAAGCTGCCTTCCAAATAATAATGTTCAAAGAGGTGGAAAGATAGTTGACACAAACGGAAGCCCACTGCCAGTAGTTGACTCAAACGACAGCCCACTGCCAGCGGTTGACTCAAACGGTAGCCCACTGCCAGCAGTTGACTCAACTGTCAGCCCACTGCCAGTAGGTGACTCACCAAAAGACAACCTTCCAGGCACTCATGACATTCCTAATCATCCTATTCTACCAGAGGATAGTGAAGAAGAAGAAGGGGAGGATGACCAACAAATTCTAACCAAAACAACCACATCTGACATTAGATGGTTGAATAAACATCCTCATCACCAAATAATTGGAGACATCAATACAGGGGTTCGTACCAGATCAGCAATTCAGAGAGAAGCACTATTCTCATGCTTCATCTCCCAAATTGAACCCAAGAAAATCGAAGAAGTCCTACTTGACTCTGACTGGATACAAGCTATGCAAGAGGAACTCAACCAGTTTGAGAGAAACAATGTTTGGGAGCTTGTGTCCAGACCCTATCATCAACATGTGATAGGAACTAAATGGGTATTCAGAAATAAAATGGATGAGGAAGGCACCATTATCAAGAATAAGGCAAGGTATGTAGCCAAAGGCTACTCCCAGGAAGAAGGTATAGATTTTGATGAAACCTTTGCTCCTGTTGCCAAATTAGAAGCAATAAGAATATTCTTGGCTTATGCTGCACATAAGCAATTCACAATCTGTCAAATGGATGTGAAGAGTGTCTTCCTAAATGGTCTACTAGAAGAGGAGGTCTATGTGGAGCAACCTCCTGGTTTTCAAATCAATAGAGAGAAGGGTCAAGTCTACAAATTACACAAGGCTCTTTAGGACTCAAGCAAGCCCCAAGAGCATGGTATGACACTCTCTCTGAATATTTAGTGAATAATGGGTTCACTAAAGGAAAAGTAGACAAGACTCTATTTAAAATAGAAGAAGGTCCCCACATACTGCTTGTTCAAATCTATGTTGATGACATAATTTTTAGAAGCTCAAATCAAGCATTATGTGAAAAATTTTCAACTCTCATGCAATGCAAATTTGAAATGAGCATGATGGGAGAGTTGAACTATTTTCTGGGACTACAAGTGAAGCAGACTCCTCAAGGTATCTTCACCAACCAAGCCAAATATACAAGAGATATCATGAAAAAGTTCAAGGTTGAGAACAAGTCTACGGTCAAGATACCCATGAATACATCACAAGGTCTAAGTCAAGATGAAGATGGCAAAGATGTTGATCCTACACTTTATAGTGGTTTGATTGGTTCCTTATTATATCTCACCACGAGTAGGCCAGATATATCCTACTCAGTTGGTGTATGTGCAAGATTCCAATCTAAACCTAAGGAAAGCCATCTTCTAACTGCAAAGAAAATATTGAGGTATCTAAAAGGTAATCCTAACTCTGGATTATGGTACCCAACAAATGGAGGTTTTGAACTCTATGGCTATTCAGACTCAGACTTTGTCGGATGCAAAATTGATAGAAAAAGTACCTCAGGTACTTGTCAATTGATTGGTGGAAGACTTGTCTCTTAGTTCAGCAAGAAACAAAACTCAATTGCTACTATCATTGCCGAAGCTGAATATATAGCCGCAGGCAGCTGCTGTGCTCAAATACTATGGATGAAACAACAATTGAAGGATTATGGAGAATAAACAAAGGAGATTAGCATACTGTGTGATAACACAAGTGCTATAGCTATCACTCATAATCCAGTTTTTCACTCAAGAACCAAGCATATTGAGATCAGACATCACTTTATTAGAGAACATGTTGAGAAGAAAACCATTAAGCTCGAGTACATCTCCACAGAAAAGCAGTTGGCTGACATCTTCACCAAGCCATTGAATGAAGCTAGATTCAACCAACTAAGGCAAGAGCTTGGAATGATAGATGAACTAGATCAAGTGAAGGAATAACCCTGCACCTATTCAGGGGGAACTTGATTACAAAAACAAGGGGGAATTTCTAGCCACCTGCTGAGGGGGAACTGTTATACTCAAGAGTAGCCACCTGCCAAAGGTAAGCTACTTAAAACCACACGGAATGAAGCATACAGGTCCATAAAAGTCACTACTATACTTTCAAGTCAAAATTCGAGTAGTTGGCTCAGCAGGTGACTGCGCACTAGCAGCAGTGGGCTCAGCAGGTGACTACTAACCAGCCCACTGCTACCCAATCAAAGAGAGGAACTTTCACCAATACTTTCATAGAAGAATTAAACACGGACTAGAAAGAGAAGGAAAGCTAATGGAGGTAAAGACGCTGGTTCAAAAATTCGCGCAGGTGACTGCCTCAGGAGCAGGTCACTGCTTTAGGCCAGCAGTTAGCTCAATTTCTGACAAATGTACATGGAATCTCAACACATGGATTATATCATCTTGATCACCTCATATCAAGGATTCCAAAAAGGTACCTCTTGTTCTCAGAAATCATCAAAAATCTACTCAAAAATGAGCCCCCTGTTACCAGTATGAATGCAGTTAATGCTAAAAGGAACCAGCCGTATTCTCCAACGGCTATATTCCAACGGCTAGTTCTCGATAGCCTATAAATACTCCCTCCGTACAAATCCTTCACACTTTCACTTTGCAATCTCTCTCTTGTCAATTCTAAAGCTCTCAAACTCTCTCTTAACACTCTCAAAAGCCTTCTTCCGCACTACCTTTAATTCCTCACATACACACAATCTCCACACACAAATGGCCTTACTCATCCAAATTTCCAAATCCATTTTTACTGGCTCCATCCTAAACACTTCCAAAGCACTTGAGAGAGCAAACAAAACTGATCTTATGAGGGAGCTCCTAAGGAAGCTCGATACAACAGAGCTCTTGAAAATGGCCACTTACACATACTCCCACTTCTATCCCGAAGTAGTAGTAGAGTTCTACCTCAACTCAACCCCAGAGACTTTGAAATCAGTAGTTCTGGGAATTAAGGTAGAGATACAAGAAGAAGATATCAGGGAAATGCTCTCTCTTCCTAGTAAAGAAGCCCCAAATGTAGAAGACCTCATCCTTGATGAGGCAGATTTCAAAGAAAAGGTCTTCCTGCCAAGGGCTCAAAACCTACACACTCTCAAGATAAAGAAAAAGCTGATGGTTCAAGAATATGATGTCCTCCTGGACATTCTCTACAAGTGTATTGACACAAGAACTACAACACTTGACGAGATCAACGCACAAAGAGCAAAACCACTGGCCGTAATAATCTCAGGGTCCCCATAGAATTGGACCAAGTACGTATACCATGAGCTAAGAAGGTATGTAGATAAATCACACACAGGAAGAAAGGAGGATGGTACTCTGCCGTTACTAGGGTACGGGTTTCTCATTGGAGAACTACTCAAGAAAAAAGGGATACTGGGGGCAACAAAGGAAGCAACAAATTGGAGGAAGTTCCTATTCCAAACCTCCAAGGCAGGAGCCCCAGAAATCCCAATGATAGTTGACTCTTTCATCTCCAACGAGCCTCTCCAAATCACTTTTGACAAGATCAAAACAAAGACTGCCAAAAGAATCAGATCAGGTTGTCAGGCAGCCAAATCAAAGAAGTCAAGGACAGAAACAAGGAATCTACAAGCCGAAATGGAAGAGGCAACATCATTTTTTCACCCCAGTCAAGAAGAAGTAGTGGCCTCCCTTCTTGCCTTGATTAACGAAGAAGCAGTGGCCTCACCTCTCGCCATTATCAATGAAGAAGCAGAGTCCTCCAACTCCTCCTATGCCAGCAACAGCTCTACCGTCCCCCTCTCAATACTCATCCCCAGGCTGACACGCCAAACAGAGCAGGTGGCTCAAGAAACTAAGCTGGCGGCTTGTCAAGAAGAGTAGGGGGCTCCCCTAGACGAGCAGGCGGCTCCCCTTGAGAGCGAACAAGTAGTTCATAAAAACGAGCAGGGGCCTCAATCACCAGCAGTGGCCTCACCTGTCCTGACTCCTCTAGAGCAATTAGATGCAGAATTTGCCAGAGTCAAGGCATGGAGATCATGGAAGCTCTCAAGAATCCTTCATCAAGCAAAAACCTTCTCACACTTCATTGAAGAAGAAGATTTTGTAGTAGACTGGCTTCAAACTCAAGACATGGCAAAGGCTACAAGACTTCATAAAATTAATCAAGTCTACAGCATCAAGAAGAAGGAGCTTACTACCAAAGACACAATGGATGACTCCAGTGATAGTGATGATGATGATGAACCCAGGGGTCCTCCCAGCTCAAAAGGTAAGAACATCATTCATTCCTCCTCCTCTAGTGATAAAGAAACCATGAGGGTCATGGAGAAATCAAGAATGGAAACCCAAGGAGGAGGAGAGTCCTCTAAGGCTCCTCAAGGGCAGTTGGCTGCCACCTTAGAGCAGGGGACTCAACTGCTAGATCTCAACCTGGAGCCTCACCAAGAAGAAGTCCCAGAACTACAAGCTACAACTTCAAATGAGATTAAGGAGCAAATTCTCAATGATGGAGCCGAAGACACTCCTACACTGGCAGAGGTCCTCATCAATGAAAGAAGAGCTACAACCAAATTCATCAGCAATGCTGAAGTCAGGCTGCACAAGAGACTGATTAAAATGCAAAGGCATTTTGACAAGCTACTAGAGGCCAGATTTGCAGAGGTTCACTGCCACATCAAAAGCAACCTCATGATCCAGCAGGTGTTCAACTCAGAACAAAAGGCCCAACTGAAGATGCAACTTTCCCAGCAGCCCGCTCAAATTGAAGACATTCACAAAGAACTAGCAGCTCAAAGAGAAAAGGACTGGGAGCTTGAACTTCAGATTCAAACTTACATCAAGCAACTGCATGAGCAAGAACGAATAGGTGCATCTCTTCCTTCTCTGCCACCCAACCTTGAAAAGGCTCTCCAGAAAATTCAAGAACATGAGGCCTACATCAAGACTCAGCAAGGGCAGTCAGAAGCAGTTCAAAAGGGCCTTCAAGAACTTCAAGCTCTATGTGTAGAGCTCCAAAATCAACTTCAAGCAGTCCAGCAACCACAAGCTTCAGCAGAGCCCTCTGCCCAACCAAAAGCAGAGCCCTCTGCCCAGGTACTCTCCAACCCTGCTTTACAAACTAACCTTGAGCAGGCCCTTCACCTGATTCATAATCATGAAACATTCATCCAAAACCTCAAGACCAAAGAGCTTTTGGCCTTCCTTCAACTCTCCCAAAAGGTGGTTACAAAACAAGTAGAACATTCTGAAGCCACTGCAAAAACTAGAGAAGATGTTGCTAAGCACCTAACCAGGATGCACACTGCTACTCAAGAAGTATTTCTCAAGCAAGGAGGTGAACTACAGAAACTTGGCCAACACATCCAACCAACAAATCAAAGTCTACAGAACCTGGATAGAGTGGTCAAATAAGATGTCCAAGTAGATGTCATGGATCTTCGCAATATGCTCAATGCAGTAGCAATTGAAGTCGGTGACATGCGTCCAACAAGGAGAAGACAAGTGGAGGTTGACTCTGACCCGGAGATAGAAGCTCTATTTCAAGAAAGCCTGACCCCTGCTGATGCCAAAAAGGGGGAAGCATCAACACAAGCAGGCCCCTCCTCCAAGCGATCAATGGCAGCTAAGAAAGCAACTGAAACAAGAAGGAAAAACGAAATCTACAAAGAAGAGGCTGAAATCAGAAGAAGAAAAGCTGGAGAAAAGCCAAAGCTAAGGAGGAAGTCAAGAAGACGTCAGAAGAAGACAAACAAGACTAGGCTAGATCATTAGTCCAAAAATGACTAAAAACTATTGTACCTTTTGACATCATCAAAAAGGGGGAAATTGTTAGTACCCAATTTTGATAGATTATGATGATGCCACTGTACTCAACACATGTACATTGTGTGTCAGTTTTATTCTTGTATTAACACTCAAAAATGTGACAAAAATAAATGTACAATTTTTTAGACTAATGAAATACTACCGGGAAAAATAAAAATGCAATAAGGTAATTTTTATTTTCCTTAATAGGATATTTTGATCCTAGCGGTATATATTATTTAGTCCAAAGATTAAATAAATGTCACATTTTTATTACATACATTGAATATGAATGATTGAAGACAAATCTTGACCGGTATTTAATACCGAATCAAGTACTGGGGGCGGCTGCATGGGACGCACACATAGAAGATACTTCAGCGTCCAAAATTATTGAAGACAAAAAAACCGCCGCATTAAATACTCCAGCACAAGAAGACGAATGTACAAGTCGTCCTTGTCAACTTTCGACGCCAGAGATTAATTCATCCAAAGGAGAAGCCTATAAATATAGGCTGAAATGAAAGTTTCTAACCAAGCTTTGAGCATCCAAAGTAGAGAAATTCTTCCACGAGCATTCACGAGCTATCTGGCAAAAGAGAAAGTGTTATTCTAAACTTTACTCTCTGCTTGGACTCATGCTTCACTAAACTTCCAGTTTACAAGCAATTCATTGTTAAATCATAGAAGTTTAGTTCCTAGTTGGAGGTTAGAACTTTCTTGAAACATTTCACAAATTGTTGCAAACACTTAGGAGAACTGTTTCTCGGATCCTAAGGTGTGGATAGATAGATAGAGTACCCTTTAATCCCCACTGGATTAATTGAGAAAATTCTAAGGACTGAGTAACTTTGAGTGGTGTTATACTCACTGTGAAAAACCTTCAATCTAGGCCTCAGTATTGTAAAGGCTAGATTGGAACTAAGTGTATTGGGCTTAATACTTTAGTGAAATCAATCTGAAAGAGGGTGGTACTGGACGTAGGAGGATTACACCACCTCTGAACCAGGATACACTGTGTGTTGATTTACATTTATTCAACAAAGCACACACTTAGCACTTCTCACAAAAAGATTGAAGTTTGCCAGCAGAATCCTAAGCAGTTGTCTTAACTGACCCAACTGCTTATCCAACTGCTTAATTACTTACCTTCTTTGAGACTATTTTCACACAAGAGACGTGCATCAATATCACTAAAAGGCATGTTCTATCAGTTTCCAGAAATTCATTTTCCAAGTATAGCATGTGCCTAAGTAGTTCTTCTTCTTCTTCTTCTTCTTCTTCTTCTTCTTCTTCTTCTTCTTCTTCTTCTTCCTCCTCCTCCTCCTCCTCCTCCTCCTCCTCTTCTTCTTCTTCTTCTTCATCCTCTTCTTCCTCCTCCTCTTCCTCTTCCTCCTCCTCCTCCTCTTCCTCTTCCTCTTCTTCTTCTTCTTCTTCCTCTTCTTCTTCTTCTTCTTCTTCTTCTTCTTCTTTTATTTATTTATTAATTTTGATTAATTTGGAACCTCAAAATACCATAAACTACAAGCAATTAGAAAAAATGTCACTTCTATGACATTACATTTAGGGAAAAGGGGCAAATAAGCCCACGTACTAACAAAAAAGTCAAATAAGCTCTTATATAGGAGGACCTATCTGGCCGTCGCCATTTGGGGCAGTTCCCGGTAGAATTGTTTTATGAAATATTTTGAGAATCTTAATCATTAAGTCTAGTTTACTCGTACCAAATTTCAACTAACAATTCAATTGGGAAGGCATTCAAATAAATTCTTGAAGATAACTGCGCTTTTAACTATGTTGTTATCTTCAAGAATTCATTTGAATGCCTTCCTGATTGAAGTTTTAGCTGAAATTTGGTAGGAGTAAACTAGACTTAATGAATAATATGCTTAAAAATTGCATATAAAATTTCCACCGGTAACCGCCCCAAATGACGACGGCCGTACATAGCCTCCTATATAATAGCTTATTTGACCCTTTTTGGTTAGTACGTGGGCTTATTTGCCCCTTTTCTCTTACATTTATCAAGATGACAGTATGCCATGAAACTGACATGGTTACTCAAAAAACTGACACTTTAAATATGTCATTTTTGTTTCGAAAATGTCATGAGAATGACATCATTACTCTTTCGAAAATGTCATGAGATGTCATTCTCTTTTTTAAACTGTCAATTTGTCAAATGTAATGTCATAAAAGTGACATTATTACAAAATAGTGTTGGATTAAACATCAATTATGACATTTTTGAGATTGAAGTGATGAGAACAATAAATATGAATCTTTTAAAAATAATTTAATCAGATTAATAAAAAATTGAAATCCAAAAGAAGAAGAAAATAGAAAATTTGTAGAAGAAGAAAACATGGGAGCTTGAGAAGAAGTTAACAGAGGAGCAGAAAAAGAAGATGAAGAAGAAGAAACTTACCTGGGCATGTAGCAGAGGTCTGTCGGCAACGACATTCATCGCACCAGCGAACATTCATCCCAGAGTCCTATTTAGGGAATTTAAAAGGATGTCTTATTTTTACAAACTCCGCCATGAGATCATTTTTTGGTATCATGTCTGTCTCAAGCTAGGATAAAGGAGGAGGGTGATGTGGTAGGCGCGTGACGGCCAACGGTATCACTTAGTCACATCACATGACATGAAAGAGAGGTGGCACTACTACAAGAATGATATACCACGTCACACATTTCACGTCAGTTATTTAAGGGATATACGGAGAATTCCACGTAACTGGCCTTTGTGATAACATCTCTGCGCCAACAGGCTCATCTGCTAAAACTTCTCTGCTGACATAGAAGCTTCTTTTATCTGCTCGGCATAAACGAGTAAGCCTCTTTTCTCTGCTTAATTTATCAATCTGACGTCTTCCTCTTTTGATTCAATAGCTTCTTGTAGGTTACAGGACAATCTCTTTACTTCTTGCCCCTCCAGCTCCTGCTCCAGGATTTCTTCATCTACGGACTACAGTATTTTGCACCTATTTTATGTGACTTATATAGTACTTTATATTGTATTTTAAAAACTGTATGTATGTGAAGTTGCGATTAACTTGTTGTTTTGTTGTTAATTGTGATTCATAAGCTGCGTTTATTGTTTATAGTTAAACTGCAAATTATAATTAAAAAATAGTTGAATTGCAAATTTTGATTTGTAATATAGTGGTCTGAATAACAGGTTGTTTTTGTTGTAATGCATAAAAATGAAGCCTTTTGGGATGAAAATGTAAACATCAATCATGGACCTGTAATGACCATGATGGTGAAATAGGATGTAGTAGGATGCTTACATTGAAATAGGATGTAATGGACCTGTAAGGAATTTTTGTAATTAGATCTTGATGATGCTATATTAATTAGGACTTTAGAGTACCCCTCTTTAGATTTAATGAATTAGAATTTTCCTTGTAAAGTTCTTTAGTATAATCGACTGGCAGAAGGCCTCCAGGGCAGAAGGCCTCCAGAACAGAAGACCCCCTGACTCTTGATAAGGCTTTGTTTTAACAGAAGACCTTTGGTTCTCTGCTCCAGAACAGAAGACCTCAGGGTCTCTGTTAGCCTTTACTCTGACAGAAACCCTCCTGGTTCTCTGTTGGATATTTCTTCAACAGAAACCCTCAACAGAAGTGCTCAAGGCCCTCTCTGATCAACTCTCTGCTAAAGACACCAGAAGGCCTGACACTTGGAAGAATTTCACCAAGCCGGTAAACCAACTGAAAGATTCCCTCAACGGCTAGGAGTCTTGAATGGAAAAGCTACAATACGCGCATTAAATGCACATTCAATGCCTCCCGTACTCTGTAGAGTAAATGTAGATGATTGGCCGCAATGTCAGGATAACTTTATCCCAAAATAGTAACCCGCCAACTTTGCCGGGTCCTACTGGTCAAGTCAAATGCTCGCTCATTTAATGCAGTTGTCCTCCTTCTCCTCCAACGGGAAGAAAACCTCAGTATAAAAGATACACTCCGAAGAACAACCGGATAAATTTGCTTCTATAGTGCGCATACAAAATATTCAAACGCTAAAAACGCAAAAAGCCTCCTTGAGATTAAATCTTCATTATCTTCTACAAGAGAAGGCAGACGTTGGAAAGCTTCCTACTTCCAACTCAAGCAACGTTCTCATCATTCTTCAACTCTTCAAGCATCTCATATACAAACCTTTTGTAACGAAGCAAGTTGGAGGAACCCCTGTTTTTAACAGAAACTCTTCTTTCACAAGAAGGACGTCCAAGTACCTGGAGCAGTGAAGTGGTGATACTTCCGGGAAAGCTCAGTGAAAGGACCAGTCTTAAGGAAGCCAGAAGTGCATCCAAGGAGACATCTACACTTGAAGAAGACGTGGAGAGATTCTTAAGTGATAGGGATAAGGCGTTGTAAACGGTCGTTTTTACAAGCTTAGTGGAACAGTGGACTAGAGGAACAAGTTGTTCCTTGAACCACTATAAAAAGCCCTGGTGTCATTTACTTACTGCATTTTTTATTTTTAGTTTTTATCTGAACTGTTTAACTCCAAAGACTTGGTATCTGTGTTCAGCAGAACTTGTCTTGTGAGTTAACAGAAGGCCTACTGCCTTTGCTTCTCTGAGGCTAAACTAACAGAACCCTCTACCAGAACCTCATCCGCTGCCAGTCTGTTCTGCTAACAGAACAGGCTATTCTGTTAAATCTGGTACTTAGCTTGAAAAAGTTAAAAACCAATACAGTCTATTCACCCCCCCTCTAGACTGTATCCAGTACAACCAGGACCAACAAGTGGTATCAGAGCCTCCTTGTTCTAATAATCTCTTAGGTTATTTGCTGAACAAAGATCCACTTGTTTTTCTGTTTAACTCATTTTTAATCTGATATAATGGATCACTCCCTTTCCAAGAATCTTATGTTCTCAGATCTCAAATTTTATGACTGGAGGATCCGAATGAAGGCACATCTCTGTGCTCTGCATGATGAGATGTTGGAAGTACTTGACATTGGGCCTTTCACAAGCTTCCAGAAGGTCAACCCAGAGCATGCTATTGATAACATTAGACCTCAGATGATCAATAAGGCCAAATCTGAGTGGATGACTGAAGAAAGAAGGAAGTACAATCTGGACAACATTGCTAAAGACATTCTTTACTAGTCCATCGATGATAGGTACTTCAACAGGATAAAGAAGAGCAAGACTGCCAAGGAAATCTGGGATACTCTTGAGCTCATTGGAGCTGGTGATGAGCAAGAGAAGGACAACAAGTTGACAATAGCTAACAAGAAGTTTGATGACTTCAAGCTTCTTCTTGGTGAAAGCATCTCCAAGATGTATGACAGGCTCCTCACTCTCACTGGAGAGATCTGTGAGCTTGGCAAGGAACTCACCACCACGGAGATCAACCTCAAGGTGTTGAGAGGACTGCCCTCAGCATGGAAGATGAAGGTGGTTTCTTGTAGCACCATCCCCAAGCATATTTACTTTTAGTAAATTATGTAATAAACCTTGAAAGATGATTTATGAATTTACGTAATTGTTAAATTTTATTATTTCTTTTACGTGAATAGTAAATTGCATGTGGGGCCCACAGCGGGAGCGGGGGCCGCCCGATAATTCTTGAACCACATATTATATTCATCTTGGTATAGATAATATGTATATGGTGGTGGATATTTTCGTTGGGCCATGGAAAGGGCATGGAGTTGACATGTGGGTCAAACGAGGCCCAATTATCGTTATTGGTAATTTATCGGATAACAGCCCGAAATGAATTTCGGAGACTCCCAGATGAATGTTGGGGAATGTACATCTATTCTACAGGCCCATAATTATTAGAAACGGGTGATATATTTTATCCGGCCCAATAAAATAAAATATAATTAAAACAGTCCAAGAAATACAATTTTCGGGGCCGATTGTACACACCGGGACATAATGGGATGACCTCCCACATAAGGGGGGGCCACCCCACGTTTTTAGATGCTCAGATTGACCAAATAATGGGGAATGGGGGTGGATGCATGTGAATAATACGAATGTGAGGTGGGAAGTCTCATTGAGACAAAAGCTCATGCCTCCATGTCCTATTTGTCCTCTTTGCTATTGATTGGGAGAAGATACTCCCCCCTAGCATATGACATTCGGCCAGAGCATAGAGAGGGAACTCTAGGGAGGCTCCTCATCAAGACCAAGCTCAAGGAAAGCAAGAAGGAAGGGAAATCCAAGAGGAAAAGCTAGAAGAAGGGGGTAAGAACACAATTTCTACTCTTTTAACTAGTTTTATTGTGTATGATTTTTAAGAACTCATATGGTGGATTAAATCATGATTTCTACACGTTTAAAAGTGTAGAATATTGATATAAAGTGGTGGTAATTAACTTAGGAGGGTTGGCCAATCGATAGGAGTCGAAATCGCCGGAAACCGCCACTCTAAACAAGCTATTCGCAGGTGCAGACTACGAAAGCCGCCCGGCTTTCGTGAAAGCCGCCCGGCTTTCGTGAAAGCCGCCCGGCTTTTGCCCAGCAGTCCAATTTTCCACTTTCAATCGGCCTAGAACGGGGATTGATCGAGGGGCTTAACAAAGGCAACTATTGTAGCACATCACGAGGTGAGGATGGCTGACTATATTGCTTATAATTGTTGGGTTAATTTCGTAAGATTACCTAAGTTATTAAATGTGATTTTCATGGATTATTAATGAATAATAATGCCTAAATGAAAATATTATTGCATGTGAGAAAGTGAAGCATGATATACAAATTTAGAGTAAATCGTGTATGATTATGTGATATGCAAGTGATGATATGATGATGGGATTAACTATGATAATATTGTGATAAAATATACTTTTACTTCATGTATGAAATTCATGAATGGTTAAAAGTGATATTTTTGATATTTGGGTTAAATTATATTTGGATTGAAAAATCAATTGAGATGAATTTATTTGGCTATGAGTTAAGAACTTGGCGATTCTAAAAATTATCCGACTAGTGTTGGAATACTAGTCGGGAGATTAATATAAATAAATGATGGATTTAATCCTAAGAGATAGGATAGTATATGGGTATGCCTTAAGTAGTCTTAAGAGATACTTTAAGGTTGAATTGTACGAACACTAATGTGTGGTAGGGGTAGGCCTAAAGGCTACCCAAGTGAATTGATTCTAGGCATAGGATTTGCTTGAGAATTGGACTATGAAAATAAAGTAGAGTTGGACTCTAGGATTGCATGGAAATGTAGTTGGGCCGAGCCCTTGTCATGTATTGTGATTAGCATGGAAACGTAGTTGGGCCGAGCCCTTGCCATGTATATGTGATCTCCGTGGAAACGTAGTTGGGCCGAGCCCTTGCCACGATGTTATGGTTCATATTGAAACGTAGTTGGGCCGAGCCCTTTCCATACAATTTTAATGCGTTAAATCGAGTTAGAGGATTTTATAGAAATGTAGTTGGGCCGAACACTTGCTATAAAATCAGGGCTCGATGGGACCCTACGGAGTTATCGTGACATGCAGTCACGGGGGAAAGAAAATAATGAATTCTAAATGAATATGGGCCCACGGGCCGACTACTTGACGCTATATAAAGTAAGTACAGTTAAAAGAAAAAGGGGTAACCGAGGGTTATGGCCTATAATATAATATCACCCTAAGTTGAGGGTCTTAGAAATTGAATTGTCAATTATACTTAGTATAGTTGCTATTGTACTTGTCAAATATTTCCAAGTACTGACCTCCCCTTCACGGGGGAGGCCACCTCACAGTTTCAGGTAGAACTTGAAGGTTGCTGCCACTGCCCGTTGCTTCGGGAAGATCAAAGGGAGAAGACGTGGTTCGTGCTTCTTCCGTTTCTGTTTTGAAAACAATTTAAATAATGCTCATGGATATTGTTTTTGAATAATTATTTGGGGGCTTGTATGCCCATGTTTGCCAAGGTGTGGCATAAACACTTGTGTTAAATGTTTCCGCTGCTATAAATGTTTATTTTACATTATGATTGTTTATGGATGTACTATGTGTGAATGGTATTCAAGACGCCTTGTATAGTATGGATGAGTTGGACTGCGGTTGGCTATTCGTACTGTACGGCGGGTTGTTGACGTGTCCGGGTAGGTCCGAGGCGTGACAATTTAATTGGTATCAGAGCCTTAGTCCGTAAACATCATAATGAAGCTTCAAAATTCTTTTTGAAAATGAATTTGAAAACCATGAGCATAAGGTTTTGTACTTATAGAACTTTTGGTACTTGAGTTGCAATGTCTCTAATTGTTAAGATGGTACCCTTAACAATTGGTATGACGGTGATTTGAGACAAAGGATGTCTTTAAGTACCTATCCGTCAATTGACATTTGATACGAGTCTAATGACTCATTCTCAATTTCTTTCAGAAATGGAACGTACCGGGAAAGTAACTAGAAGGAATCCGACTGGCCGAGCACCCGGAGGATCCGTGCAAGGCAGTAGAGGGGCTTCTAGGGTGTCCAGAGGACAGGGCCGTGGAGGCCAAGCTCAGACCGTGAGTGACGGTTATGTTGAAACAGTCAACGAGTCTTATGAGTCCGAGGAGGATTCGACGTATTAACCGGGAACTGAGCCGGTTGAGACCTCATATGATGGGGAATATGACGATGCTAGTGAGGGGAGCGACGACGATGACGCTCTAGAAAGGATGGAGGAACTACTCCGTCAATTTCATCAAGATCGCCAAAGGCGCCGGGCAAGGCGTGCTTTGGGAGGGGCTTCAACAAGGGGAAGCCATGCGGGTTCTAGGGGACATGTGGAGTCCCGAGTTGATCGAGGTGTCGAGGTCCCGATAATAAGGATCTCGAAGTACCTCAAAGAAGCAAGAGATTTGGGGTGTAAACCGTTCGATGGAACGGGAGATATATCTGTTGCGGCGGAGTGGATCAAGAGGTTCAACGAAGCGGCCCTTGATATGCAGCTGCCGCCAAACATGAAGATGAGAGTAGCAACAAGGTTGCTAGAGGGGATGGCGTCCACATGGTGGGACGGTGTCAAGGGGAAGTACGGTGAGGCCATAACTTGGGAGAATTTCCGACAGGAATTCTTCAACCAATACTACTCCAACTTCGAGGTGAACTTGAAGAGGAGAGAATACACCAACTTGACCCAAGGAGGCAAGTATACCGTGAGGCAACTTGAGCACAAGTTCAGGGAGCTCGCGGAGTTCATACCGGAGTATGCTTGTGATGAGAACCGGATGGTGAATAACTTTTGGGATGCTTTGGACTTAGACGTGCGTGAGAGGGCAACACAGTTGCCTAACATGACGTTTAGTCAAGTTGTGGAGCAAGGCTTGAAGGGAGAAAAGGAGTGGGAGGAAAGAAAGCTGAAAAACGCCGAGGAGGCAAAGAAGAGGAAATGGGAGAACACCATCCCCCAAGGTTTCTAGCAAGAAGGGGAACCACGGGGGAGGTGGGTCTTTCAGAACGCCCGCACCACCATCCAGGGGAAATCAAGGCCCGGGAGGGCAAGGCTCGAGGTCGCAAGGCTCGGGCATTATTAGGTGCAGTAACTGCAAGAGGAACCACGCGGGCAAGTGCCTCGATCCCACTAGGTGCTACCAATGCGGGGAGACGGGGCACTTGAGATCAAACTGCCCACAACTTGGGCGAGTCATGGGTGCAGGACCTAGCAGCGGGACTACGGCAAGTAGGAACCGAGCAGGGGCACCTCACGCGAGCACGAACACGGAGGGCCAAGTACAAGCAATGCACCATCCGTGAACCAAGGCAAGACCCAAGCTAGGGTCTATGCGATGACGGAGGCGGACGCACGTGCTAACCCGGACTCCGTTGCGGGTAAATTCTTAAACTCATGTTATTACCTCTATTGTATGCAATAGGAGTGTTTGATATGTGCAAATTTATAACCCCGACGGTTGGTCGGGTTTGTAGAGGAAAAAGGGGAGGAAAATCCCCGCTCTGGGCGAATGCCGCCCGGCATTGACGAAAGCCGCCCGGCTTTCGTCTTGATTTATTGGGAATAATACCACGGCAACGAATGCCGGCCGGCTTCCACCGAGAACCGCCCGGCTTTCGTCAACATTGAATCAGGAAATTTTCTCGCAACCAAAAACCCGCCGGCTTTTGTAAAGACCGGCCGACTTTCGTAAATGTCCGACCTGGGGAATTTCTCGCAGCTGAAAGCCGCCCGGCTTTCATGGAAACCGCCCGGCTTTGGGGTTTATTTATGGCATTAAAAGTACGGCGACAAAAACCGGCCGGCTTTCGTGGAAACCGGCCGGCATTCGTCAAAATTGGGAGAAAATCCTGCGCAGCTGAAACCCGGCCGGCTTTTGGCAAAGCCCGGCCGGCTTACGTAACGAGAAGTGCCGGACACATGAAAACCGGCCGGCTTTCATAAAAAGCAGCTGGCTTTCACCCGAAACGAGTCCGGAGATGCTTTTCAAGGTTAGAAACCGAGGAGTTCTTGTATGGGGTCGGGTGGTCTTCATCAGAAACATGATCGACGCACTCTACGACCTAGGAAACGAACCTATTAAAGAGATAGTGTGCCTTACATTACTTATGAATGTAGGAACACTAAAGATAAACGGGAGAGACACAAGGATCCTTATTGATACCGGGGCGCAACGATCATTTGTGAGTGAGGCGTTCGCCAGCAGATTCAACGGACCACTTGTACTGATGACTCAGACCCTATTGGTATCCACGCCTCTAGGGGATGATATCGAAAGAGATAGCCACTATCCATCGTGTGAGGTGGAGGTGGAGGGACATAACTTGACGTGTGATTTCGTCTTGCTGAGTATGATCGAGTTTGATGCAATCCTCAGGATGGATTGGATTGAGAAACATCATGCTAGGGTCGATTGCTACACAAAGATTCTTGAACTTGAAAGCGGTGAAGGGTTGACCTTACGCTTTGAGGGAGATAGAGGCAAATCAAACAGTTGTATCATATCCGCCGTAAGGGCGAGAAATATGATGAGAAAGGGATGCCACGCATATCTAGCATACGTGGTGGACAAAACCAAAGAGGAGGTAGACATCAATGATGCGAGGATAGTGTGCAAGTATCCGGACGTCTTCCCAAAAGACTTGTCGGGACTTCCACCCGATAGGGAGATTGAGTTCGTGATCGAGGTTGAACCCGACACCAAACTAATCTCTATACCGCCATACAGAATGGCACCCGCTGAACTTAACGAATTGAAAACCCAATTGCAAGAGCTATTGGATAACGGTTTCATAAGGCCGAGTCACTCCCCGTGGGGAGCACCGGTCCTTTTCGTGGAAAAGAAAGATGGAACACTTCGAATGTGCATTGACTATCGTCAACTGAACAAGGTCACAATCAAGAATAGGTATCCCTTACCTAGGATTGATGACTTGTTTGATCAGCTCCGAGGAGCGACGGTATTTTCGAAGATTGACTTGAGGTCGGGGTACCACCAACTGAAGATAAAGGAGGATGACATACCAAAAAGTGCATTCCGCACGAGGTATGGTCATTTCGAGTTCCTAGTTATGTCGTTCGGGCTAACCAACGCCCCAGCGGCATTTATGGACTTGATGAACAGAGTATTTCATAAATACTTGGACCGGTTTGTGATTGTGTTCATAGATGATATCTTGATTTACTCAAAGAGTGAAGAAGAGCATGAGGAGCACTTGATACTTGTTCTTGAGACACTACGGGAGAAGCAACTCTATGCCAAGTTTTCCAAATGTGAATTTTGGCTAAGGGAGATCGGCTTTCTCGGGCATGTGGTTTCAGGATCAGGGATTGCCGTAGATAACAAGAAGATTGAGGCCATTACTGAATGGGAAAGGCCAAAGAACGTCAAGGAAATTCGTAGCATCCTTGGATTGGCAGGGTATTACCGAAAGTTCGTGGAGAAGTTCTCAGTTTTGGCATCGCCATTGACAAAGCTCACTCGAAAAGGGGCCAAGTTTGTATGGGATGACCGATGTGAGAAGGGATTCCTTGAACTAAAGAAGAGATTGACTGAGGCACCGGTACTCGGATTACCCCAACAGGGTATGGGGTACGATGTCTATAGTGACGCGAGCATGCAAGGGCTTGGATGTGTCTTGATGCAGAATGGGAGGGTGATTGCCTATGCTTCACGACAGTTGAAGAAGCATGAGGTAAATTATCCTACTCATGATTTAGAGTTGGGGGCAGTGGTTTTTGCATTGAAGATTTGGAGACATTATCTCTACGGGGAAACATGTCATATATACACTGACCACAAGAGCCTGAAATACGTGTTTACTCAGAAAGAGTTAAACATGAGACAGAGACGGTGGATGGAGTTGATAAAAGATTACCACCAAGTTATCGAGTACCACCCCGGTAAAGCCAACGTGGTAGCGGATGCCCTGAGCCGAAAGAATTCGTCCGGGGCGTTGCTGACTAGTTTGAGGGCATTGAGAGCCCGATTGGAAATATCTAGTGAAGGTGCCTTGTTAGCTAGATTCGAGGTGAGACCTACATTACTTGATGAAATCAAGAAGGGTCAAGAAACCGATAAAGAGCTTATGAAGGTCCGTGAACGCATGCTAGCGGGGCCGGTTGAGGATTTCAGGGAAAGAGACGATGGTCTCTTATTATTTCGTGACCGAGTGTGCGTACCGTCGGATGATGGGCTCCGAAAGTCCATCTTAGAGGAGGGCCCATTCATCGGCATATGCCATGCATCCGGGGGGCACGAAGATGTACCGTGATTTGAAAGAAAGTTACTGGTGGTCGGGTATGAAGAGAGAAATAGCCGAATACATCAGTAGGTGTCTTACTTGTCAGCAAGTTAAGGCAGAACATCAGCATCCAGCCGGGTTGTTACAGCCATTATCCATTCCTGAATGGATGTGGGAACACATGACTATGGATTTCGTGGTAGGATTGCCACGGACGATTAAGAATTATGACGCCGTATGGGTTGTGGTTGATAGGCTCACGAAGAGTGCACACTTTCTACCTATCAACACCACCTATGCACTGGAAAGGTTAGCCAAGTTGTATGTGGATGAGATCGTGAGGCTACATGGAGTTCCAATAACCATTGTATCCGATAGAGATTCGCGATTCACATCACGATTTTGGTCGAAGTTCCAAGAATCAATGGGGACAAAACTGAAGTTCAGTACTGCATTTCATCCACAGACGGACGGACAGTCTGAGAGGGTTATACAGATATTAGAGGATATGCTGAGAGCTTGTGCATTAGAGTTCCAAGGGAGTTGGGACAACCATTTGGCACTCGTGGAGTTTGCCTATAACAACAGTTATCAGGCGAGTATAGGCATGCCTCCATACGAGGCATTGTATGGGAGGAGATGTCGTACACCATTGTGTTGGGATGAGGTTGGCATGGCCAAACTCGAGAGCACGGAACTGGTGGAAATCACCAAGTCAAAGGTAAAGATGATTCGTGACAGACTTAAGGCGGCACAGGATAGACAGAAGAGCTATGCCGATAAGCACCGAAGAGCCTTAGAGTTTAAGGTTGGGGATGAGGTATTTTTGAAAGTTTCACCTTGGAAAGGAATCATCCGATTTCAGAGTCGAGGGAAACTCAACCCAAGCTACATAGGGCCATTTGTGATTCTTGAAAGAATTGGGGTCGTAGCATACCGATTAAAGTTGACTCCGGAGTTTGAGAAGATACATAATGTATTCCATGTGTCTATGCTTAAGAAGTATATTCTGGATCCATCTCATGTACTAGAAAAACCACCCGTGGAAATACGGGAAGACTTGAACTACACCGTGCAACTGGTAAGGATACTTGATAGGCAAGTAAAGAAGCTAAGAAGCAAGAAAGTTCCAATGGTTAAAATCCTTTGGAAGAGTGACCGAGTTGAAGAAGAAACTTGGGAGACTGAAGCCTCGATGAAGGAACAATATGCATTTCTGTTTGAATAATCGTTGTGAATTTCGGGGACGAAATTCCCATTAAGGGGGGGTGAACTTGTAGCACCGTCCCCAAGCATATTTACTTTTAGTAAATTATGTAATAAACCTTGAAAGATGATTTATGAATTTACGTAATTGTTAAATTTTATTATTTCTTTTACGTGAATAGTAAATTGCATGTGGGGCCCACAGCGGGAGCGGGGGCCGCCCGATAATTCTTGAACCACATATTATATTCATCTTGGTATAGATAATATGTATATGGTGGTGGATATTTTCGTTGGGCCATGGAAAGGGCATGGAGTTGACCTGTGGGTCAAGCGAGGCCCAATTATCGGTATTGGTAATTTATCGGATAACAGCCCGAAAAGAATTTCGGAGACTCCCAGATGAATGTTGGGGAATGTACATCTATTCTAAAGGCCCATAATTATTAGAAACGGGTGATATATTTTATCCGGCCCAATAAAATAAAATATAATTAAAACAGCCCAAGAAATACAATTTTCGGGGCCGATTGTACACACCGGGACATAATGGGATGACCTCCCACATAAGGGGGGCCACCCCACGTTTTTAGATGCTCAGATTGACCAAATAATGGGGAATGGGGGTGGATGCATGTGAATAATACGAATGTGAGGTGGGAAGTCTCATTGAGACAAAAGCCCATGCCTCCATGTCCTATTTGTCCTCTTTGCTATTGATTGGGAGAAGATACTCCCCCCTAGCATATGACATTCGGCCAGAGCATAGAGAGGGAACTCTAGGGAGGCTCCTCATCAAGACCAAGCTCAAGGAAAGCAAGAAGGAAGGGAAATCCAAGAGGAAAAGCTAGAAGAAGGGGGTAAGAACACAATTTCTACTCTTTTAACTAGTTTTATTGTGTATGATTTTTAAGAAATCATATGGTGGATTAAATCATGAGTTCTACACGTTTAAAAGTGTAGAATATTTATATAAAGTGGTGGTAATTAACTTAGGAGGGTTGGCCAATCGATAGGAGTCGAAATCGCCGGAAACCGCTACTCTAAACAAGCTATTCGCAGTTGCAGACTACGAAAGCCGCTCGGCTTTCGTGAAAGCCGCCCGACTTTTGCCTAGCAGTCCAATTTTCCACTTTCAATCGGCCTAAAACGGGGATTGATCGAGGGGCTTAACAAAGGCAACTATTGTAGCACATCACGAGGTGAGGATGGCTGACTATATTGCTTATAATTGTTGGGTTAATTTTGTAAGATTACCTAAGTTATTAAATGTGATTTTCATGGATTATTAATGAATAATAATGCCTAAATGAAAATACTATTGCATGTGAGAAAGTGAAGCATGATATACAAATTTAGAGTAAATTGTGTATGATTATGTGATATGCAAGTGATGGTATGATGATGGGATTAACTATGATAATATTGTGATAAAATATACTTTTACTTCATGTATGAAATTCATGAATGGTTAAAAGTGATATTTTTGATATTTGGGTTAAATTATATTTGGATTGGAAAATCAATTGAGATGAATTTATTTTGCTATAAGTTAAGAACTTGGCGATTCTAAAAATTATCCGACTAGTGTTGGAATACTAGTCGGGAGATTAATATAAATAAATGATGGATTTAATCCTAAGAGATAGGATAGTAAATGGGTATGCCTTAAGTAGTCTTAAGAGATACTTTAAGGTTGAATTGTACGAACACTAATGTGTGGTAGGAGTAGGCCTAAAGGCTACCCAAGTGAATTGATTCTAGGCATAGGATTTGCTTGAGAATTGGACTATGAAAATAAAGTAGAGTTGGACTCTAGGATTGCATGGAAATGTAGTTGGGCCGAGCCCTTGCCATGTATTGTGATTAGCATGGAAACGTAGTTGGGCCGAGCCCTTGCCATGTATATGTGATCTCCGTGGAAACGTAGTTCGGCCGAGCCCTTGCCACGATGTTATGGTTGGTATGGAAACGTAGTTGGGCCGAGCCCTTGCCATACAATTTTAATGCGTTAAATCGAGTTAGAGGATTTTATAGAAATGTAGTTGGGCCGAACCCTTGCTATAAAATCAGGGCTCGATGGGACCCTACGTAGTTATCGTGACATGCAGTCACGGGGGAAAGAAAATAATGAATTCTAAATGAATATGGGCCCACGGGCCGATTACTTGACGCTATATAAAGTAAGTACAGTTAAAAGAAAAAGGGGTAACCGAGGGTTATGGCCTATAATATAATATCACCCTAAGTTGAGGGTCTTAGAAATTGAAACGTCAATTATACTTAGTATAGTTGCTATTGTACTTGTCAAATATTTCCAAGTACTGACCTCCCCTTCACGGGGGAGGCCACCTCACAGTTTCAGGTAGAACTTGAAGGTTGCTGCCACTGCCCGTTGCTTCGGGAAGATCAAAGGGAGAAGACGTGGTTCTTGCTTCTTCCGTTTCTGTTTTGAAAACAATTTAAATAATGCTCATGGATATTGTTTTTGAATAATTATTTGGGGGCTTGTATGCCCATGTTTGCCAAGGTGTGGCATAAACACTTGTGTTAAATGTTTCCGCTGCTATAAATGTTTATTTTACATTATGATTGTTTATGGATGTACTATGTGTGAATGTTATTCAAGACGCCTTGTATAGTATGGATGAGTTGGACTGCGGTTGGCTATTCATACTGTACGGCGGGTTGTTGACGTGTCCGGGTAGGTCCGGGGCGTGACATTTCTGTCCAAGCTAGCAAGGATGTGAAGACTTATCCCACTGATAAGCTCATTTCAGATCTCAAAGCTCATGAGTTTGAAATGATTGAAAAAAAAGAAGATGTACCAGAAGAGAGGACCACTACAGCCCTCACTGCCAGTACATCAAAGGTAAATGATTTTGACCCCTCAGTACTTTTATCTGACGAATATATGGCTGTTTTTGCCAGGAGATTCAAGAAGTTTATGAAGAATCCCAAAGATGGAAAAAGTCCATCATTCAGCAGAAAGCCCTTTCAGAAGGTCAAAGCAACAGAGAGCAGTGGTGAGCTTCTCTGTTACAACTGCAGACAACCTGGACATTTCAAGGCAGAGTGTCCACATCCAAGAGTGTCCAAGAAACAAGGGCATGATGGAGAAAAGAAGAAGTATGAAGACAATTCCAGAAGAAGGAAAGCACTCGTGACAGAACAGCTCGAGAAAGACCCTCTGTCTGAGACAGAATCCAGTTCTGACTATGACTCTGATGAGGCCTTCTGTTTCCTTGATACTGAGACAGAAGACCTATGCCTCATGGCTCATTCTGATGATGAGGTAACCTCTACTTCTGCATCTAGTTTTTCTTCGGTAGGCTTAGCTTTTGATTCTGATTCAATGTCAGAATTTTGGGAAGAGTTTAAGGCCATTCAAGCCACTTATTCCTCTGTCACAGAAGAAAACAGTAAGCTGAAGGGTGAGATTCTTGACTTAACAAAGGAGGTTGAGATCAAAATCAATCTTCTAATTGAGGAGAGAGATCAGCTGGAAACTGAAAATGTTTCTCTTCTCAAGAGAATAAGAGAAATTGAGCCTCTTGAGATTAAGTATAGAGCTTACCAGAAGGCCCAGTCTTCCATGGAAAAAATTCTGCTTGATCAACAAATTGGCTTTGGCTTTGGTCTTGGTTATGGCTCAACAGAATCAGGTGAGCCTTCTGTAATGCCTAGCACAAGTGTTGCTAAGGCAGACAAGGTCATAGTGCCACTGATCTCTAGCCCCATTTGCCAAGCTGGTGTATCTGGCACCAAGGTTGTTCATGAGGAAGTCAGACCAGAAAAAGGGAAGATAAAGGTTCAACAGAAACCCTTTTTGAAAAATAATGAACCTGGCAGAAAACCTAACAACAGAAAGGGTTTTCAGAATAATAAAAATAAAAGACCATTCATTAACAGACAACCTCATGATAACCGTGCCAGAAATGACCACCAAAAGGGTAGATATCAAGAGAGAGTTAACTTTAGGCAGAAGAGGTTGGCTGGTCAACTTCAGAAGCCCAAAGCTAACCGTCCCTCTGCTCTTGATAGTATATGGGACTTCTTTCCAACAAAGAAAGCTATGCAAAAGTACGTAAACAGGAAGCATGACCCTCACAAGCATCTGCCCAAAGTGAATCACACTTCAGTTTACTATAACTACCAGGTGGACAATGGGTACCATCCACCAAGGTTTCACCTGATGAGACCTAAATGGTACCAACTAGCCAGACTCCATGACCCCCCAGGACCCAACATCGCTTGGGTACCTAAACCTTTCTTTTGATCTTGCAGGATTTGTGTGCTGGAGCTATCTCAGAGCAAGAATGGTTTATTGATAGTGGATGCTCCAGGCACATGACAGGTGACAGAAGTTGCCTAACAGAGTTCCAGAAATGCAAAGGACCTAGAGTTACCTTTGGAGGTAATGACAAAGAAGGTCAAACAAAAGGAAGAGGGAAGCTGATCAAGAACCAGATAGTCATTGATGATGTCTCTTATGTCAAAGGCCTGAAGTTCAACTTGCTAAGTGCTAGCCAATTCTGTGACAAAGGCTACACTGTTGAATTCACTAAGGACTTCTGCTATGTGAAGCATGAGACAACAAAAGAAGTGGTTTTTACAACATCAAGGAAGAAGAACATCTATGTGGTTGATTGGAAAACTGCAAAGGATGGACTTTGCCTGATAGCCAAGGGAGATTCAAAACTAAGCTGGCACTGGCACAAGAAGCTTAGCCATTTGAACTTCAAAACAATCAACAAACTGGCAAGAGAACACATTGTTGATGGACTGCCAGACATAGTTTACAAGAAAGAGACCCTCTGCAGTGCATGCCAGAAGGGAAAGCAACAGAAGAACTCTTTCAAACCCATTGCTGGAGATCTTTCTACAAGTCCTTTAAATCTAATCCACATGGATTTATTTGGACCTGTTGAGACTCCAACTGTTGGTGGCAAGAATACACCCTAGTCATGGTTGATGACTACTCCAGATATACATGGACTATCTTTCTGTCAAAGAAGAATGAAACTCTCCAGAAGTTGCCATCTCTATTAAAGCAACTTCAGACTGAGAAGAACTTGAAGGTTAAGACAATCAGGTCTGACAGAGGAACTGAATTTGTCAACCAAGTCATAAAGGACTTCAGTGATCAAAATAGAACCTTTCATCAACTCTCTGCCGCCAGAACCCCTCAACAGAATGGCGTAGCAGAAAGGAGGAACAGAACATTAAAAGAAGCTGCAAGGACAATGATAGCAGAATCTAGACTACCTATGAGATACTGGGCTGAAGCAATCAACACTGCATGCTATACCCAGAACAGAAGCATGATCAACAAGAATCACCAGAAGACCCCTTATGAACTTTGGAAAGGAAGAAAACCCAACATCAGTTACTTTCATGTATTTGGATGCAAATGCTACATTCTTAACAATGGAAAGGAGCATTTGAAAGTCTTTCAAGAGAAAACTGATGAAGGTATCTTTATAGGCTATTCAAACACCAGTAAAGCCTATAGAGTACTCAACAGAAGGACTCTACATGTTGAAGAGTCTATACATGTGAAGTTTGATGATAGCACCTCTGTTAAAGAAGTAACAGAGACCCTCAAAGAAGTCAACATAGAAGACAGAACACCTGAACCAACAGAAGAGGTAGCAGATAACCCTGCATTTCCAACACCTGCACAAAACCCCCTTCTGTTGAATGAAGATGAAGATTCAAAAGATGAAGAACCAGAGAGACCCAGACAACATCTGACATGGTTAAGAGACCATCCCCCTAACCAAGTAATTGGACATATCAGAAGTGGTGTGCAGACCAGATCAACATCAACAAGGAGAGAAGCAATGCTTGCCTGCTATATATCTCAGATGGAACCCATGACTGTAGAGGAAGCACTTGCAGACTCAGATTGGATCAACGCAATGCAAGAAGAGCTGACTCAATTTAAAAGGAACAAAGTATGGGAACTTGTTCCTAGGCCAAAACACCAGAATGTCATTGGAACAAAATGGGTATTCAAGAACAAAGCTGATGAAGATGGCAACATTGTAAGGAATAAAGCAAGGCTGGTAGCTAAGGGTTACTGCCAAGAAGAAGGAATAGATTTTGATGAGACTTTTGCACCAGTTGCTAGACTGGAAGCCATCAGAATATTTCTAGCCTATGCTGCCTACAACGGCATCAAGGTCTACCAGATGGGTGTCAAGAGTGCATTTCTGAATGGAGATCTTGAAGAAGAGGTTTATGTGGAACAACCACCAGGTTTTGTCATTCCTACTCACTCCTCGTGTGTCTACAAGCTTAAAAAGGCCCTTTATGGTCTTAAGCAAGCTCCTAGAGCATGGTATGACACATTGTCCCTATTCCTAGTGAACCATAGGTTTACTAAGGGAAAGGTTGACAAAACTCTATTTCAAATCTCTGTTGCTAATAATATTCTGTTAGTACAAATATATGTTGATGATATTATATTTGGTAGTACTAACTCAGAACTGTGCAAGAAATTCTCTCAAGTGATGCAGAGTCAATTTGAAATGAGTATGATGGGAGAACTCAGCTACTTCCTAGGACTACAAGTCAAACAGGTTCCAGAAGGAATCTTTATCAATCAAGGGAAGTATACTAGAGACCTGATCAAGAAGTTTGGAGTGGAAGGCAAACCCTCAGTGAAAATCCCCATGAACACCTCACAAGGAATTGGTCCGGATGATGAAGGCAAAGATGTTGATGCAACTACCTACAGAGGAATCATAGGATCTCTGCTGTATCTGACTGCAAGCAGACCAGATATCTCATTCTCTGTTGGAATCTGTGCCAGATACCAATAAAATCCCAAGGAGAGCCATCTTAGTGCTGCAAAGAGAATCATCAGATATATCAAAGGAAATCCAAATGCAGGCCTATGGTATCCAAAGGGAGGTAACTTTGAACTAATTGGTTACTCTGACTCAGATTTTGCAGGTTGCAGATTAGACAGGAAGAGCACCTCTGGTCACTGCCAAATGCTAGGAGGAAGGCTTGTTTCCTGGTTTAGCAAGAAGCAGAATTCAAACTCAACAAGTACAACAGAAGCTGAATACATTGCATCTGGGAGTTGCTGTGCTCAGCTACTCTGGATGAAGCAACAACTGAAGGATTATGGCATTCAAGCAAAGGAGATCAAACTGCTATGTGACAACACCAGTGCCATTGCCATCACTCAGAATCCAGTTCTTCACTCCAGGACAAAGCACATTGAGATCAGACATCACTTCATCAGAGATCATGTTGAAAAGAAGCACATATGCATGGGGCATGTGCCAACAGAAGACCAGCTTGCAGACATTCTGACAAAGCCTCTGCCTGAGACTAGATTCAACAAACTCGGAGAGGAATTGAGAATGATGGATGAAATTCCAAGAGAAAGTTGAAAAGGAAGACCTTCTGTTGCATACTCTCTGCTAACAGAACACCTGCTGCTGACCCCTTCTGTTCTCTATCCTGAACAGAGGACCTCTGTCCCTGACAGAACACCTCAGCATTAGAAATCATCCTCTTACTTTAACAAAAGGTTGTGGACTTAGATTTTTTTAAACAAAAACCGGGTG